CGTGCCTGTTTGCCATGCCAACACCACAACGAGGCAGACCCGTGCTCCTCCCAGGGGTGTGACAGCGGTGACGTCCCAAGAGGAAGCTTCTCTTGGAGCCGCACACAGTCATTTGACTCGAATGCCAAGGTGGGTGTGCGCTGGAAATATGGCGTCGGAGCGGGAGATGGCAACGGCGCAGTGGAGCAGGAGCGGAGTTCGTTAGCAAGTTTGCTCCTGTGGATGGAATGCACTGTCGGGCTCTATTTGTGACACAACCTGTTGAAGGAGGGGAGAAGAACACAAACGCCAGTCAGACCCCAGGTGTGCCCCTTGCACCCTCACTTGGTTTGATGATAAGCTTATCATAAGCCAACCCAAACATCGGACTTCTCCTGAAGTTCGCCCAAACCTTGAACGCATCCCTACCCCTGCACAACATGACCACAGATCATGTCATTCATAAGGGACCATGGCGCAGTGCTGACAGCCATTGTGCTGTACGATGAGGGACGCCACCTGAGGAGGTAGGCCGAGCCATGGACAGCAGCCTCGTCAACACGCGTGTGCACACGCATTGTGATTATTTCCACACGTGTGCAAATAATCACACGGCTATGATCAGCCACTTGTGAAACCAGTCAAGCTGTTTTCTGCTCCGCAAACATGGGCCAGGGAGAACATTGCATTCTGCATCTGGGCAATTTCTGCAACACCCTCAACCTCCTCCTTGAAACCTCATTCACAGCTTTTTTGAGAAGAACCCCAAGGGTGTCTATGCCTTCAGCCCCGGTCCCAAGGCCGCCCCCACCGTCAATGTTGCCCACGCCATTGTGGTGGTCGGGTATGACGTAAACGGACAGTATTGGACCGCCGCAAACTCGTTTGGGCCCAGGTTTGCCGATGGAGGTGCGAGGCAATGCTGCACTGATTCACTGCTCAATTTCGAACTCAGCAGGAGGATTCTTCAGGCACCCAGCTGGAGCGTTGCAGTTGTTCAGAAGCTCTTGCAATGCGATGGATGGGCCGGGCCACTCACACAGCAACCCGCTGCTTATAACATGCAGAGACCCACCCAGCTTTGCTTCTGACGCACGCAGCGTGGGCCCCCCGCCTTGCGCAGCCTCTGTGGCTGAGCATGCCGGCGGCCTGCAAACCCCCACTCACTGTTGCTTTTTCAAACCAATCATCTTCGCGTCTGCAGGGTTCTTCAGGGTGGCTTTTGGCCAGGCTGGTGTCATGGATCCCCAGTACACTTTTGGACTGCGGTGGACCTGGAGTCCGCAGAACTCTGGGCCGCTTAGTGCAATCCGCAAGTATGTACAGCTCAGGCCCGATCCTCAACTGCAGAAGGGCTGCGTCTGGTACATATCAGAACCAGGCGACTATGCGGCGAGGATCGCGCAACGAGTGGGGGTAGCTGCCGGGCAGCTGCTCGTCGACAACTATGATCTGTTCAAACTGACGCCGGGAGACTTCCTCCCGATCAAGACCAAGGTCAAGATATGCAATCCTGACCCAGGTGAAAAGTATGCAGCTGCCAGATTGCTTGTGTTGGCACAGCACTGGCGCTGTTTGCCATCCCCACACCTCGCCACTCTAAGGGCATAATCAGCTGTGCTGCTCAACTCGTACGCCGTGGCACAACAGATAGAAGCTTGATTTGATGAGTGAGGTCAGGCTGAAAAGCACACAATTGACTGTTCATGGCTCATGATTTGTTGAGCCCTTAATTTGCAATTCAACTTCCTACATCCGCAGCCAAGGTTGACGCCCAAGTACCTGAGCCCATTACCAAGGCCTTGGCACGAGGTGATGGCAGCGCTGCACTCAAAAGTAGGACACCGGGCACCAGCCCAAATGCAGGACTGCCGCCACTTCCAAGTCCTCCTCCACAAGTTCCGGCGTCAAGCAGTGTCGCGCGGCCATCTGGCGACATCACTGCGCCGGCCAGGGCCCCTGGTGAGGCGCAGGCCGCGCAGGGGGTGCAGGCGTTTTTTTTTCGCGCCATCACAGGCCTCGGGCGCGACTGCCTTGTGAGACGCTGTGAAGCACCAGACCTGTCTTGAGCTGTGACCTTGTTTCTGACCCGTGCCCCTCCTCCCTCTGGTATTGATGCGCACGCAGACAGGGGAGCCGTTACGGGCGATGCAGGGGTGCTGCTCAGCGCCGCTTGTTGTGCGCGCTCAGACTGGGCAGCAGCCGCAGACCCCTGCCGCAGATGGCAAGGTGTTGGATGCGACAGTCAGGGCAAGAGTGTCGCCAAAATCAACTTGAGGGGAGTTATACTTGTTGGAGACCTGTCGACCGCCGCTGGCTGGGGGGCGCTCTCACACCTGCAGTACATGTGAGGCCGTGAAAGACAGCTCACTGCTGGTTTGGCTGCGAGCTCATGTCCTGGGGCAAATTGCTTGCTGCGCACCAAATCTGATGCTCTCTGGGATGAAATCTTGATGAAGCCACCATCTTTGACCCCTTTTTACAAGTTGCTTGCCCCCGCACCCCGCCCCACAACCTTCACAGTGACCTCAGCGAAAATCGCCTGACAGGAGCCCTGCCGGCGGCTTGGTCGAAGCTGTCCATGCTGACGTCACTTGATGTACATGGGAACGCGGTGCAGTCAACAGTGCCGTCATCTTGGGGGAATCTAGCCAAGCTGGAGATGCTGTGAGTTGCTGATTTGGGGCACATTGGGCGCATGACTCGTACTCGGGCCGAGCGATGTGTTCAGCTCACCAGTGCGTTGCTTACACACGATCTGGACTGCTAGGCGCGCATGTTTGCTTGGGAACATGCGACGCAGCCGCCCATGTCACCTGCCATCGCGTCCAAGTGCAATTGTAGACGGACTGCGGCAGCATATATTCCCTCATTGCTGACGTCTGAAAATCACACCTCTTTGCAGGGACCTTTCCAGCAATCAGCTGGGTGGCGCCATCCCGGAATCCTTCGGCCGCCTCGCCGCCCTGACCACCCTGAACCTTGCCTCGAATCAGCTTGTTGGGTCCCTGCCGCCGTCCCTTGGAAGCCTCAAACGCCTCGAGGTTATGAACATCAGCGCCAACCAGATCGCGGGGAGCGTTCCAAGGTTCCAGGCGCTGCCGGCGCTTGTGGCTCTCGCCCTCCACTCCAACAAGCTCTTGGGTAGCTTCCCTGCGGCTGCCCTGAGCTCGGCGCTCCCCGGCCTGCGGGTGCTGAGCGTGCACAGCAACCGGGCGCTGTGGGGTTGCCTACCGGCTGCCTGGAAGGGCAGGGTAGAGTTGCTGGACGCTGAAACAGGGGACTACACGTCGGTCCTCACAAAAGGAGCGCTGAAAGGCACAGCCTTGACGGGATGGTGCTGAGCCCTGCTGGGCGACAGGTGTGCTGGCTGTTGGACTCTTGCTGGTTGGTTTGGCATGAGGGGCAGCAACGAGCATATGGGTGCTTGACTCCTCTTCGATCTCCCACTACCATACTTGTTCCTGCTGTAGACGTTTGAGCAGCTGCAGACAGGGCGTCAGCTACAACCCCCCTTCCCCTCACACACGTCCAGCCAACCCACTATTTGATCCCTACCCCGCCCTGCACACTGCTCTGCCATCTCACACCCCAAGCGCCTTGCGCCAGCACGCCGTGCATGCGTGCAATATTCACATCGAAGCCCTGAGACACGTGACAGAAGACTGCTCAGGCCCAACAGGTGCAAACGGCACCTTTGGACTGGTGGGAACATCTAGTGGGCAGCACGCAGCACAGCCTGGCACGGTGCAGACGGTGCAGGGGGTGGGAGCAGATGCACATGCGTGGAGCAATCCTGCGATTAAATGCGCTGTTAATCATCATCGCAATCTCCACAGGCCCCCCATGGGCCCCTGACATCCTCGACGCACCCCTACGATGCATCCGTGCTCCCCATCCTCGAAGCAGCCAGCGTCCCTGCCTGGCCCAACCCTCATGAACGCGGTCATCATGATGTATACGGTAGGCAGCAGAGTGTGCGTCGGCTCCCCGCCACGTGGCCGTGCCCTGCATGCTGTGAGGAGGTGGGGCAAAGGGTAGCGGCGGCTGGGGCGGCAATAACCAGATGAGAAAGAGCAGGTGACTTGATGATTTCTGATGGGCGGCATCAATGCATTGCTGCGCATCCCGTTTGGGCTGCGGCTAGCTGTTGTTGGAGCAAACCTGTTTGCAGGAGCACGCATGCCGCAGAGAGACAGTCCCAACGGGCTGTGTGCTAGCTATACAGCCCAGCTATCAGCAGACGACCGCCCCCGCCAGCAAAAGCCGACTCTGCATTACCCTTGAAACACATGCGTGACTGCTCCAGGATTTCAGGCCAAGGCCTGCTTTCCACGTAGGACTGCGCACCCTGTAAAGACCTGCTGCTTCTGGAGTGCCTGGGAGCGGGAGAGAGGGACAACTCAGTGCGCTGCAAGACGCTTTGGCAGCCCTGTGCCCGTTGAGAGCCCACACAGCACCCAGCCCAAAGTGCAGTCTTTTTAGATTCTTTCCGATTGCTGGTCTCAAACAGCAGTGAGTGCGGATGGTAATGGCTGACTATGCTGTCAGACAGATTACGGGCTATTGGGCAGATTACGGGGATTGAATCTGGCGCCGCGATGCCGCACCGAGGGGCAAGTCGCGCCCTCTTCGTGGTCAACTGTCAGTCAACAGTGCAACCAACATGCTTATTGGCAGCGCCTGCATCAAGGCGATCAAGGGTCACATGATAATAGTAGTAACATCAGATGCCTTTCAGGTTGCCGGTGAGGCTGTCAGCTTGCGGAGGGCCATGACCGTGCTGGCCAGCTTCGGGTGTGTCGAGTGCCTGGGTTGGTTGAGTGCAGGATTGGGTGTGCCTCGGAGCTGCTCTGTGTGAAGTGCTGTTGCAATCATGTCGGTGTTTATCGAAGTTTCATATCATAATATCGGCATCGACAGCGGCTGACTGTCACAACCAATTATCGAACGTTGTGCCAGAGCTTCCGCTAGCGCGTGCGGTCGGTAACCGGTAGTAAAAGAGCACTGTTCAGTCGATAATGCTGCGCAAGGGCGTAAGCGGCAACGCCGCCGCGCGCGGCAGCACTAGGGCGGCAGCGGCAGACCGCCGCCCGATCATTGCCGCTGCTGCGGGCGCGCACGCGCCGCCTGCCGCCGTGCTGACGGGCGCCTCCGGCGGGATCGGCAGGGTCACGGCGCTGCTGCTCTGCAGCAAGGGGTGGAAGGTGTTCGCCGGCGTTCTGAATGAGGCAGAGGCGGAGGAAATGCGCCTGCTGCACGCGTCCATCGAGCCGCTCGTGCTCGACGTCACCGAGTGAGTGCGAGGGTGACCCCTTGGCTTGGCAACGCGGCAGGGCCTAACCCTTACGGGACTCGAACACCTACAAAAGCTCAGCAGACGCTTGCCACACCCGCAGTCGGCTTCGACGCGGCCGCGCTGCGACTGCACCACGCCAAGCTAGCGGCAACAGCCCCCAACTGCCGCCCCCGCCGCTGCCGCCGCCGCGCCCGCGCGTCGCCCCCGCCGCCGCTGCCGTGCGTAACCGTGCCGCGCCGCCGCCCGCAGCAAGGCCAGCGTGCGGCGCGCCGCGGTGGCGGTCGGCGAGGCTGTCGGGGCCAACGGACTGCAGGGACTCGTGAACAATGCAGGCATCGGCATGGGCGTCCCGGTCGAGTTCTTTCCAGGTATGAACACCAGGGTTGCGCCTTGGTGAACTGTCTGTTCATCTTGCTGTGGAGTGCTTGGGCGGCGGAGTGGCCGCGGCCGTGGGGCCACGCGCCCTGGGGCACGCGGCCCCGCGCGGCTGACTGCTGCAGGGCAACGCCCGCCTGCGGCACCCTGGGCCCGCGCGCGCGGTCGCGGGCGGGCGGGCAGCTTTTCTTGGTGCGGGGGCCTCACAGTATACTCCCCTGGCTCTCTCTTATGCCGTCCTCGTGCTTCATTCCCTACGCCTGCTGACGAAGGATCCCCGCATGTGTTGCCCCCGCATTGCGCCCACCCC